AACCCTACATAGGGAGGGGCACAATGACTTGGAACTGACTCAGCCGTAGTGCTGTTGGGCTAACAGTTGTGTCATATGTAATTTTCCTAACCCAAACAAGAATTTTATCATGCAGTTAAACATTGTTGTTCAGTAATAATGGGCAAGAGACCTGATGCTAAGTGTAAGCACACATATTACTTTAATGCAGTAGACACATTGCATCATAGTGTGCAGCTCACAGCATTGTGAGGCAAAAACTGGGAGGCTGGCACAGACCGAGCAAGGGTTTGTTCTGTTGTAAAGAGGGTAGTTTTGAATAGAAACCAACCCAAGAGTATGTGACAAGGCACCAGCAGACTCCTAATAAAATCGACTTTACCAACGTGAATTCTAAAATATCAAATCAAATGCTTATGTAAATATCACTTTTAAAAGAGCCCCATCTATTCAAATCTGAAAGAAACGACCTCTTTAAAGGGGTGCAGTGAGGAAAGAAGCAAGGCAACCTACCACCAACTAAAGCATCCTGTTCATTTTCACATTCATGGAAACTCCAAACTCAAGAATGTACAAAAGCAGAACGTGCCAGTTTTTAAAAATCCGAGGTATCAACACAAAAATACATCACACTGAAGAGAAGGGCACACATCACCCATTGGCAAGAGCTTCATTAAAAACCTCACAAAGGACATGAAAACGAATTTAATTTGATCCTGGCCAACAAAGCAAAGAAAATGTTAGCTCAGTTATATCAGCATCAAACGAAAAGTACTTAATAGAGCTTTAAAAAGTTAAATCGCAAAGTAGCGCTCAATTTGCGGTCAGGATATAAAGAAATGAACAGTCAAACTGAACCATAGTGTTTTAAGTGATTTGCACCCAACTCCATAACAATATGTGTGCCATGCAATGCAGACACCAAAATGTTGGGGCACCTTACAATACAGAATGTTTAATTAAAATTTCATGGTATTTGTTGCAGAAAAGACAAAGGCTTATTAGTGGTTACCAGGGGCTGAGGGGAAGGGGAAATGGAGTTGTTGCTTAAAAGGGTTGAGCTCTCAAAAATCCATTGCTGATGAGTCAATTCCGACCCATCGGGACCCTATAGGACAGAGAACTGTCCTATAGAACTCCAAGGTCGTCAATCTTTACCAAAGTAGACTGCCGAAGCTTTCTCTCAGAGTGGCTGCTGGTTTTGAATGAACGACCTTTCAGTTAGCAGCTCAAGGCTTTAACCACTGACTACTAGGCCTCCCAGGTTTTCCTGTAGGGCTATGAAAAGCATTTGAAAATGGTTACTGTAATATCACTGAATTATACATGTAAAATGGCAGATGTTTCACTATATATATTTTATTACAAGTGGGAAAATGAACAACATGCATGAACTTTGGAATCAGGTAAGCATAAGAAGTCAATCATAAAAGAACAACGTTTTATGATTTCATTTATATAAAATATCTGTCATAAGCAAATCTACAGGAAGATTAGTGGTTGTTTAGGTCTGATCTGGAGGGGGAAAGGCAGGGGGAACTGCCAAATGGGTAGTTTTCTTTCTAGAGTGATGAAACAGTCCAAAATTGTGGTGCTGCCATATATAACTCTGAAAATGCTAAACAAAAATCACTGAATTGTAGTTTAATGAGTACGCTGTCATTATATTTCAATCAAGCTTTTAGAAAACATGGCATTTTCAATAAATAAAAGTTGTCTAACTTCATACTGAGGAGGTGTGCCCTGTCCTACGCCTCTCCAAACCAAACTCATTGCCATCAAATTGATGCCAACTCATAGTGACCCTATCTGGAACGCGTGGGGGTTCCGCATTAGGCTGCGATTCGAAAGGTCTGCAGTTTGAAGCCCCGCCCCCAGCTGCCCCTGGGGAGAAAGATGGGCTTTTTACTCCCATAAACATTTACAGTCTCAGAAACGTAAAAGGAGCTCTACCCTGTTTATGGGGCTGTTATGAGTCATACTTGGGTAGCATGGTTGAAACTCAGCTCTGTAAAAGATAAAAGCAGAAAATAGAAGGTTCTAGACCAATTTAGCCAGTTCCCTCAACTCCTGTGCCTCAGGATCTCCAACGAACTGGATCAATACTGGACCAGATTAAATCATCTAAAAGGTATCTTTGAGTTATATGAATCTGTGACTTGTGAATAAGATATAATCCAAGTCCCAGATGTACGCTTAGAAGACGTGATTTCCTTTTCTCATTGCCATTGTACTACCTCCCGATTCATGACTATATTACCTTTTTTGAATACACAGCAGTCTTTAAGAAACCGGCAGGGTTGCGGTTCCACTGCCTTTATCTAACGTATAAGATACTTCTCATCAAGCACATAATTTATTTCTAACACGGGCCCCTCACAGAAAACTGCCATTGCTAGTGCCGTTTACTAAGAGATTAGCCTCACTACAGTTCTGCTATCTTGAGAGGAGACCTGGTGGCGCCCTTGCTAAACAAGAAGCCGGTGGTTCCAATCCACCAGCCACTCGGTGGCAGCCTGCTTCTGCCCAGATGCGCAACTATGGAAACCCATGAGATAGTTCTACTCTGTCCTCTGGAGTTGCTAGCAGTCCCAACCAACTTGATGGCAGGAGTTTTATTTCTTGAAAATGAACAACACGAGGGGGAAGAGGCAAAGAACTCAGAAAGGCTCAAGGGTGTCATCTCTTGGCAAGAATTTGACTCAACAGCTCAAAAACTACTAAGAACTGCAGAACAGTTACAAAATAGATCACTAAAGAGGTTCTCAAAGGACAGAAAACAATGTGAAATGCTACCGATTTATAGAATCCAGTTAAAAAGAGGAAGTATAAAAGGAAGCATGTCACGCGGTGACATTTCATCTCACTCAGGGTACATTAATTTAGACCACATTTAGTCCTCACTCAATTAGGATTTGGTATTACCCACAAACTCAATTCTGACGGACTTCTCTCACTCGCAAGGGTGGGGAAGAATCTCAACAATCCAAAGGATCCACGTTTATAAAAAGCAAAGGAACCCATGCGAAAGCACCAGCGAGGCTGATGTCCACCAATGACTAACTATTATCTTGAGGACAGAAGAGTTTTCTAGCAAAAATAACTTCTGTGAAATGAAAGGATTTTTCCCTCCAGAGAAAACTTTAGACACAAATCATTTCCTTTCCCCCAGAGAAATCATGTTCACCACTGTGCAAACACCACAAGAAATTTCCAACGCTAGAATAGAAACCCAGTTTGTAGTTGTGAAATTCTGAATCCACCAAGACAGAGTTAGAGTCATTTCACATATAGGTAGGTGTCCTTATGACTGAATTAAAATCTGACATCTATAGCAAAAACACCAACTATGTGCTTCACGAGGAAACATACATTCAGAAATAATATTCCCAATTGTTTGCAATTGCCAAATTTTTTATATCAAATACCTCAAATGCTGAAAGGAAAAATAAACTGCTTAATTATCTGGGAAACTTACATATTCAAGATTAAAAGGGAAAATGAAGGCAAAGATGGCCATAGAAGTATTACTGTTTTCTTACCCTGGTTTTCAACATTTTAAGGGATTATATAAACTGGCTAACTTTTTTTTTTCAATCAAAGGTTTGGACCTTCATGTTATCTAGAAATATTAAGGAACTGAACTTAAAAAGAAAAGCATGTCACCATCCTAGGCAACAGCCCCCAATCCTAGTACTGTACCTCATAGGCCTGAGCTTGGCAGAGAACTTTTTCGCTTTCTAATTTGTTATCCACTGTGATAAATCAAGGGAACAAAAGGCTAGTCAATGATTTGCTCTATTTCCCAATGCACAAATGCTAAGGAAAAAGTAATGTACATTACTAGATAATTCCAATAAAGCCCATCTGACCTACTGTATTATTTAAGACCACACTAAGGATTCACTAACTGGAAAGAACACTCATTCAGCCTAATAAATCTAGATACCACTTGATTACTGAGCCATTTACTAAAACCATTTCTGATTTGAAATTAAAGTTATCAAATTATATCAAGAGTATGATAGCCAGCACAGAAACTTACAAAAGACAAAAAAGGGATAATTGCTGGAAAGTCTCACTTATTCCAAAGTCTGTAAGTATTAAAGTTTTGATCTAACAACGTACAGATTCATTACAACTGTGGTCATTTTATTTCTATTATATCTCCTATTTAATTAGAGAACAATCAACTCTAGAAGCTATAAAGTTTAGGAACTTCAGTGTCATTTGAATTAAGTTAAAATGGGGACCCCACCACTTACTAGCTATTTAACGGAGGCTAAATTACTTAATCTCTTCCCTGAGTCCCAGTTTACTTTCTAAAACAAGTCAATATACGCATGAGGCTTTGTTATAAGTATTATAAAATCATGCACATAAAGCATAAGGCCTAGAACATGAGAACTCAATACAAGCCAGCTATGAATTTCGGACTGGGAAAAATCCATGTCTGCAGCTGTTGTCCTGGCATAATTAGTAACACTGTCTCTTTTGCTCCTAAAAATGTCCTGGTTAGGGCAATATATGGTTACCTTAACCACACTGATGGGAAACACAATTAATACTAATTAGACTGTATAACAATTGTTTTAATCATATATAGAAAAATATCAAGCACCACACGAATTAATTAGACTCCTATAAGATAGTCTACTGATATTTGGCTTACTCAAAGAACATTTAAACACTATAGTTTATACATTCACACCTATCTCATTTCAACAATGATTCAAAGGAGCATTTTTTTGTTCTTTCTATACCATAGAGGTATTGCAAACTTAAGGGATTTTGAGAGAAAAAGTCAGATAACTCAATGGTGAGTTCCAGCCACTCAAAACATTACCCTTTGAAACCCCAGTGAAAAGAACCCATTCTCATCATGAAGAATGCCCAACATCAACTAACATATCAATGAGCCCATCCCATTACAGTGCCTGCAAAACAGAACAATAAATATGCTTAAACATGCATTCTATACATAAATAAATCATCAGGAGATGCAACAAAAAGTAAATTACCTGACTTATGACATAGTACTGAAATACAATAAACTGGATTTTAAGTTCTCTTCACTCTCTGCTCTAGAAAAAAAAAGAATCCATTATTCTTCTTCTTTTATAAGATATACATTTTCTTTGAAATAAGCATCCTAAAACAAAAAACAAAAAACCAACACACCATACATAATAACCCAAGCTTGTTCACTACTAGTATTGTACGACCTGGGGAGACCCAGTAGCCAGGGGTTAGACAACACTTCTTCTAAAAGTTGAGAGTCAATCTACCTTTTAATATAAGCTTGTTTAAAACAAGCCTTACTTTATCAAACCAGAAATTATTTTCAGATTCTGATGCTCACTTTCAGGAACTTATTCTGCACATTATACTAGCCGAAGGCAGAAACTAAATTGTTTAAAAGTAGTACTTTATTTCCAGAACATCTTCTGCTACCCAAATTATGTCTGAAAACATTTTACAGTCACCTAAGTGTGTCCTAAAATTATATTTTAAACAGAGTTTAGACTGGTGTTCCTGGTTACTTAACCTATTTTTACAATTTAGAAAAGTAACCGGGGTATTTAGAGTTCTAATGGTCTTTCTCAAGTTACCCAGGATGGACATAACTTGTACCTGATGGGGTGAGTAGTTATTTTCTATTTAATCATAGTAGAAGCACGTTTAGCATCTCTCCCCTTACTGCAATCATCCAAAGCCACTTTAGGTAAATAATTCAGGAAATGTGTACTTTCTATTTCCAGCCAAAAAGTTATCTATCCATCTCAGAGGTAGGTAGCTACAGATAGAGTGGAGCCTTGCAAATAGTGGATGACAATCTGATATAAACATTTCGTCTTGTCCAAATACGAAAAAAGAAATAACCCAAGTAACATGCAAGACCACACTAGGCCTCAGATTCCCAGGCTAACCTGTGGAATAAGTATGGTGAAACTGCTAGGGTAAGGAACGTGGCTGTTTCCTCCATCTTGAAATTAATCAGCATACGGGAAAAAGGGACCAAGTATTCAGGAAGCAGAGCCCAACCGGTTAATACTAGTTACTAAGCTAAGGCGTACGTGGCAGGTACCGCCGGAAGAAGCTGAGACCCCTTCAACTTGCCCGACTCCCACCCCCTTCTTTAATGGGATGGGGTTGGGCTGCTGGCGGATTGGACGGAAATTAACTTAAGAATCCATTCCCACCCTAGCCCTGGGAAAATCAACAAACACGCAAAGGCTTTTCCCTCCCTTTGGGGGTTCTTTCGAGAGATTTCAGGAAAAGGAAATGCAGGCTTTTCCATTCGAATACGGAAGTAAGTAAGGCACCCTTGCTTTAGATCCCGAAGGAAGATGTCATCGTGGCCTCGGGGGGCGCCGACTGGGGAGCGCCCTGCAGAAGGGCTCAAAGTGGGCCTTTGGGATTCTAAGTCCTGGGAAATCGAAAGATCCAAGAGTTCCCAGCACCTAACTTACGAGGCCTGGTTCTCCCCCCTCCTCCCTCCTAGACCCAAGCCCGCTGGTGGAAGGCAGAGAGCAGTCTCCCAAGAACATAGGAAGAAACCATGATAGGGTCCCAGAGTCTCCCGCTTGAGGTCAACCCTCGGAAACAGCCACCCCCAATTCCTACGGCTCTCCGGAGCTCCTGGCTGCGGCACCCGCGGCCACGGACAGGAGGCCCTCCGAACCTCCTTCCCCTTCTTCAAAGCACCCATCGGCCCTACCACTCCGCTAAAATGGCAGCGGCGACAACGCCACGGAGCCCCCCGCAGCAGCCAGCCCCGGGGTTCGGAGGCGGCCCGGGGCCCTGCCA